CGGCTCCGGGCCCCCCGCCGCCTCCAGCGCGTCCGCCGACTTGGAGTTCACGGGCGACGCGCCCGGCCCTCGAGGCTCTGCAAAGAGACAGGCAGGGCCCGGCTGGATGCATGGGACACCAGCCTGGCCTGATCCTGCAACCTCCCAGCCGGGCACGTGGGAGCCCGGCTCAAGCTGGGAGCTGATGCGCTCTGCCACCCCCGCGCCTCTGTTTTCCGCGCTCAGCTTGTGGAGCTGTGAGATCCCCGAGGGCACCATAGATGGGACCCACTTCCCCTTTCATCAGGCCTGACATGGGGGTGCCTCCCACCCAAGGGGGCTCAGGGTGGCACATGGCGCTCGGGAACGGGCTCCATATCAGCACTCACTCTGCCTCTCCAGGTCACGCACGGCAATGGTGGAGACAGGCCGCGAAGGGTCCCCGCTGCGGTACAGCTGCAGAGCATCCAGGATGTCTGACTCCAGCGCAAACTCCGAGTCCCACTCATAGTTCTCATCCACGGATGTGTTCCTCCTGTGGGGCACCAGGGTGGCATCAGCAGCGGGGCCTGTGCCCACGGCGCCTGCACCCCTCCCACCCTCACCGAGGTGCAGAGCCTGTGCCGAACCCGGGGAGATACCAAGGTGAGCAATGGGGCAGTCAAGCAGGGGGCTTTCCACGAGCCGCCCTGTGCGTGGAAAGCAGGAGGTGGGTGTGAGGCCACAGGCAGGCAGCGATGGGCTGGCCCCAGCCACCATGGTCCCCACCGCCTGCAGTGACCCTAAGGCCGAGCCTGAGGCTGGGCACCTCTGGGGCTCTGTCTGTGGCCTTTGGATCACGAGGTTTCTGCCGTGGGTCCTGCGGGATGCCCGCTCCAGGTTGCCACGCGTGCTGGGATGCGGCCAGGCAGCTCCGCACTCCGTGCTGGGGCATCCCGGCCAAGCAATGTGCAAAGGCTGAGAGCTATGTGCAAAGAACGGGCTGAGAGATGCCCAAGCATGAGCCAGCTTGTTCCTGTCACAGCTCACCTCTTGCCTGCATTGGTGAGGCCTGGATCCTTCCTCAGCTTGCCCTCCTCTGCCGTAGAGCCTCCACTTTGCCAGCTGCTCCCTTCCCCGAGCAGGGTGCTGAGAAAGTTGCCCCCGAGGGATGGTGCCAGCGAAGGGGGTCGCAGGAAGGACGCGCTGCCCCGGCCGCTGCTCTGGCTGGTTAAACTGCCCCGTGGCAGCTTCTCCAGGGCAGCAGGCTCCTGCTGCCTGCATGTCTCGGGCTGCCCTGCCAGGCTCAGAGCCCAGCTGGGCTCTGCGGGGATGGCCGAGGGCACAGCCTCAGTCCTGCTGCCGGTGGGGGATGCCTGCGTCCAACAGATCGGCTCTGGGGCCAGGAGGGGGCTCGGGGAGCTGGTCCAGGTGGCGGTGGTGGGCCGCGAGGCCTTTGCAGGGCCCACCTGCAACTTGGGGGGTTTGAGGAAAGCCGTGGCTGGAGGCGATGTGGCGTTGGCACATGGGTCCATGTAGTCCGGACAGACTGTCCGCTCTGTGCTCTCTGGGGAGCCTTTGGCCCCCAGCAGGGTGGTCTCCAGGCTGCCTGGAGGCTCTGGCTCACAAGGGGGCTGCCTTGGCTCGCTTGGCTCCTCCTGGGGTGGCCAGTCGCCATCGACGCACATCTCCTTGAAGAAGGGCAGGCTCAGGTACTGGAGGATCCCGCTCTGTGCTAGCGAGCCGCCTTTTTGCTGGCTCCTCTGGATGCTGGAGCTGTCCGGGGGGGCAAGCTGCAGCAAGGGGGAGCCCTGGAGGGGCAGCGAGTCCCACAGTGCACTGGCTGGGCTTTCGCCGGGCGCGGCGCTGCCTGTGCTGTCTCGCAGCTGCTCCACGGCACTGTAAGGCAGGGTCGCTGCAGAGGCCACGGGGCTCAGGTCGATGATGCAAAAGGCCGCGGCCTCGTCGGGGCCTGCTGCTGCCATAGCCAAAGTAGCGGCCCTGGCGGTAGCTAGAGGCCCTGGATCCCTGGTGGGCCTGCCCTGAGGCCCGGGGTCGCAGCGAGACCCCCTTCCGCCAGATGGGCTCTTTCTCCTCCGAATGGACCTGGAGGTAGGGCTCGGGCTGCTGCATCAAGGGAGGCACAGGCGAGGGGTCCCGCTGAGGGTACAGCTCCGTCTCTGTGTAGGGCAGCGCCTCAAAGCTGCCCTCCTGTGACCGCCTGTCAGTCTCCACCACAAAGCGCCCGTCAGGGCCCCGGCAGATCCGCTCCAGGGGCGCATGCTCCCCGACGTGGCTCTCATACACCGCGTACCTGGAGCTGGCCCCAGCGATGCTGAGGCCCAGGCTGGTGCCTGCCTTCTCGCCCCACAGCAGCGTCCGGCGCAGGCTCTGGTATGGAGATGCCTGCAGCTTCAACTTCATGGTACTATCTGGGCTACCAGAGCCATGAGAATTGCTGTAAAAAAGAGGAGAGTCACTCGAGCATCCCCATCCTGGCTCCTGGACTTGTCTGGCTGCACCCCATTACGGGGCAGCTTGCGTCAGGCATCTCACAACAGGTATCGTGACCCTGCATTGCTGCCACGGGGTCTAGAGTCCAGCTCTTCTCTCTGGCTTCTGATCCTTTGTTCAGCTAAAACACCCGGCAAGGGTGAGCAGAGCACCCCAAGGGAGCCCTACGCCATAGTGCATCCTGACCCAGCACCCCTCTCCCAAAGTCCCCTCAACAGCCAGCTCTTCCATCTCAGACAGCAGCAGCAGGGAAGGCCAGGCTGGCACCCGGCCCATCCCATGCCTGCCCTGAGCCAGTAGCAAGTGAATGACGGGAAGCGCAGTGAGACAGCAAGGGAGTGAGACGGGGAGGGAACATGGCATGGCGTGACTTACTGTGGAGGTGGAAGCTTCTTGCTGGGGGAGAAGACGAGTGGTGGATCTGGAAGGTCATGAGAACACAAGGGGATCACACAGCAAGCAACGCAAAGTGATGATGAGGAGACAGCGGCACCCACTCAGCCCTACTACCACCCTTTGCGACCCTCCAAAGCCCCCCCAGCCCTCAGCTGGCCTTGTCCCCTCCCTGAACACCCACCCAGCTGGCCAACGAGGTCCTGTCTCCCTGGACGTGCCGGTTCGAGCTCTCTGGAAGCCCTGGGATCCAGGCACCTGCACCCGTCCAGTTAGGTCCTACCTTGCCTTCGCTTCTGAATGCGCGCAGCACGCCGGCGGTTCATGATGCAGGCTGCCACGGTGCTGAAGATCACAGCCACGCTGAGGAAGCAGATCCCCCCGATGACCCCAGCAAGCACTGGCTGTGGCAGCAGCTCCGGGAGCTGGGTGCGAGACGGATACACCTCCATGCCTGGGCCAGGATTGGAGACACTGTTAGACACTTGATTACCTGCAGAGCATCCCGGCATAGTGGGCACGCTGGCTGCACAGCGGCCACACCACCAGCACTGCAGAGAGAAATAGTAAAAACCTTGGCTTGCTTGCCCTTCTCTGCCTCTTGGGGCTTGTCACCTTCTGGTGGACTCGCAACCTCCACCATGCCAGGTGGTGGGAGCAGGGACGCTTGGGACAAAGCTCTCCTGGTATGTAGTCCGTCACACCAATATCATGCAAGTTCCACACATAGAGATGACCTTTCTCACAGTATTAGCCTTGGTGGTCCTACTCCAGGGCCACTCTATGGGCTGCATCCCCTGGTCTGGCAGTAGGGACACTTTGGGTGGGAGCAGTAAGAAGTGGTTTCTATTTGGGAAGATCCTAGGCTACGCTGGACGCCTACTCCCTTGGTTTCTATCTCCAGGCCAGGAAAAGCAAGCGGGTTGCAGCCCAGGCCTTACCTGCTGTGGAGACGTTCACCGTGTTACTAGGATCACTGATGTAGCTGCCAGCAAAGGCCACCAGTCGAAACTCATAGAAGGCGTCCTGAGGAAGCAAAGAGCCATCAGCCTTAGCACGGTGACCAGATAAACCTTAGCCCACCAGACTGCGGAGCTGAGCAGCTCTCCAGGGTCCCCAGCTCCTCCCAGCACTGGGCAGCAGCGATATCGACCCCTCCCCGGAGCCAACCCCCTCCTTGTTGTGTCCCTGCACTTGTGCAGGGCTGCCCCATGGAAAGGCACACAGTGAGGATTTCCCTCGACAACTGCACCTTGATGAGTCCTGGCACCAACACCTGGGTCTTCGTGCTGGGGATGGAACGGTCTAACACCTCCCAGCCACCCTTGTCCTGCCGCAGCTCCAATGCGTAGCCACTCAGCGCCACTGAGAACTGACCCGGGGGCTCCCACTGCAGCAGGACCCCACGTGCAGTCTCGTTGGCAGTCAGAGCCTGCGGCGGGGACAGGAAGATGCGCATGGTCATGGCAGGCGGCTCTGGAGGCACCGTGGTCAGCGAGAAGCCTGAAGAGAAACAGGACGCGGATGTGGTGATGAGGGGAGAGTAAGGCAGGAACAGGAGCCTCCCATGTGCGCGAAGGTGCTGGGGGAACCCAAGGGATTCTGTGGGCAGCACCATGGCCCACTCTTACCCCTGGGCACGGAGGTGACGATCTGGCTGAAGGGGCCACTGCCCAGCTTGTTCTGGGCCAGGACGCTGAACTGGTAGCTCACGTCTGGCTGGAGATTCTCCACCAAGAGGTGTTGAGCTCCAACTGGCACTGACAGTGACACCCAGTCATGATGGGCCCGAGGCAGATGCTTCACCCTGAGCAGATGTGAGACCTGTAAGCCCAGAGCTGAGGGGCAGGACCCTCTGCTGCCTGGTGGGATGGATGGGGTGCTGGGATACCACATTCCTGCCCCTGTGGGACTCACAGTGGTGTGTACCAGACGCTGAACCTCTGGAAATAACCTCCGTCAAAGCCAGGCTCCCAGGAGATGTTGGCTGCCAGCAGGAGCGGGAGCACAGAGACATTGGTGACGGCATGAGGACTGGTACCTGGTAGAGAAAGCAGAGAGAAGACATATCAGACAAAAGCAGCTCAGACAACAGATGCGTGGAGGCATTTCCATCCCCTTCCAGCGCAGTGGGACCAGGGCCATTCACCCCACAGCTGCCGTCTCTGTCCTTAGGGCAGCCCCGCACCCATGGACCAGGCCTGCCTGCCAGGGACAGGTGACTCACCCAGCACGTGGACAGAGGTGGTGGTGCTGATGTGGGCCACCTGGTTGCTGGCCATGCACTCCCAGATCCCATGCTGCTCCTTGACGAGCGGACGGAAGACGAGGCTGCTGTTTGCATCCACCTGGGCGCCGTTCTTCCCCGCACTGCCCAGCTGCACAGCAAGGCGCACACATGCTGATAGCACGCGACTGACTTGACCCCACTGCAGGCTGGCTACTCTGCAGCGACCCTGCCCATGCTGAAGCAAACGGGACCTGATGTGCTTTAGATCCACCGCCCTGGGGCCGGTGTGGAAACAGAGGCCAAAGAAGGGGCAGGATTTTGCCCTTGTTTCTTAGAGAACTGAAGACAGCACTAGCAAAGGGCCCCAGGCCTCTTGTCCAGCAGGAACCAGGCTCTCAAGAGAGATGTGACCCTGCACAGTGGCTGTGGGAACAAGGACATGCAGACTGCCCTGGGGCATGAGGACTGACGTCCTAGAGGGCAAGAGTAGCACCAGCCTCCCAGGTGGGCTCAGCTGGTGCCCCAGACCTGTGGTTCTTACCTTCACCCACGTGACAGTGGGTGGGGGATCCCCACGGGCCACGCAGGGGATCACCAGCTCCCGGCCCACCTCCTGGAAGTATTCCTCCTTGGGGCGCACCGTGAAGGCAGGAGGGTCCTGGAATAGAGTCAAGCATGGCGATGAGCTTAGTGGTAGGACGGATGGAGGCAGACCCACGGTAGGGCAGACCAAATGGCACCGTGGCACATTTGTATTGCTGCACAGTTGGGTTGTCACAAGGGTGGCGTGGCAGCACCCGTGCCAAATGGGTGCTTGGCCCAGCAGGGTGGGAGCAGATGGGGCAATGGGCTCAGGCAGCGTCACCCACCAGCTTCGTCTCACCTTGAGCAGCACGCGCGTGGGCCGAGACTCGCCAGCTGTGCCGTAGCTGTTGTATGGGGTACACGTGTACACTCCCAGTGCATCATCATTCCCCGTTGCGATGATGATGGAGCCGTCGGATCTCATGGACCAGCCAGGGAACTGGGAGACGGGGATGCTGGGGTCAGGACAAGGGGCTGGGGGTAGTGGGAAGACAGGAGTGGGTGCAAGCAGCAGTACCTTGTTTAGCTCCAGCGGGCGCCCGTCTCTAGTCCAGCTGACAGAGAGCAGAGGAGGGTTGGCCCTGGCAGGGCACCGGATCACACCCTGCATCCCCTTGGGCAGGTGGGTCTCTGGGAGCATAGTGGTCACCTCCGCTGGATCTGTGAGGACAAACAGGGCACCAAGACCTGCATGAGGATTGCAGGGGGCTCACGATCCCCACGGCAGCTGAAGGAGAACCCCCTTCACACCAGGGCCTGCAAGACCTGCTGGGCTTGCCCATGGGCACCTGGAGGGGTCCCTGCTCTGCTGAGCCTGGAGGAGCCTTTTCATGAGAGGAGCTGGTCACTGTGCCCTGGGCTCCCAAGGGGCAGCATGGCCTGCGAGGGGCTGTGGAGCCTCTTACACAGCACTGTGACGAAGGCCGAGGCAGAAGGTGGCTTCCACAGCCCATTGCTAGGGATGCAGGTGTATTTGCCAGCGTCGTTTGGGGTTGTTCTCTGGAGTAAGAGACTCCCGTCCACCAGGACGCGGACTCGAGCCTGGAGGTGGCTACAAAGAAAGGACAGGGCAGGAGAGTAAGCAGCACAGCTGGGACCATCCCCACCATCCCAGAGTGAGAGAAACTCCCTCCTCAAGCACCCAAGCAGCTCACTGCCTGCCTGTAGTGCTCAGGGGTGCCTGGATCCAGGCTTCATGGGGGCACAGCAGCTCCTGCTCCTGCTGTGCCCCAGCACTACCAGCCACATGGGATAGCCAGCAGGAGCCCATGATCACCCAGTGTCGTCCCCAGCCCCCTTCTGCCACCCCGCTTGCCAGCATGCAGTAGATCTCATTCCTGCTACCTGAGATGGAAGACGTTGCTGTTGCCCTGTAACCATGTGTAGGTGAGGTTGCCGGGATAGGCCTCGGCCTGGCATGCCAGGAAGGCATCTTGAGAGATGTTGACGGTGATGTTCTGAGGTGGTACCACGATGATGGGTGGCCCTGCAGTATGGGGCAGAGAGGACAGTGAGGGCTGGGGACAAGGGACGGCCCCAACTGCTCCAAAAGCTGGTCATTCCTGTGCTCCTCCCAAACCCAATCGGGAGCAGGGTGTACAACACCCAGCAGGGTGCCCCACCTGGTCAGGGCTCAGACAGCACCCACTCTTACCCTGCACGAGCACACGGGTGGTGTGGGTGATGGTGCCTTCCTTGCTGGAAGCATGGCAGGTGTATGTGCCTGCGCTGGCCCGCTCCACGATGGCAATGCTCAGCGTCCCGTTCCTTACCTGCAACGGCACCCGGCGCAACCTCGTCAGGGCCACCACGGTGGCGGGAGAGGGACCAGGGCCACCTGCCCTGCTCTGCGAGCTGCCGGGCTGCAGGAGGAGCTCTATTTTGGCAGCATAGCCTTCTCCTTCCTGCAGTGAGTTACCAAGCCCTTTACCTGCATCAGCTCCAAAGGCTCTTCCCTGGGGAAGAGCCCTGGTGCAGCTTCTTCCTGGCTGGCTAGACCTGCCCTGGGGACCCCTGGGAGTCATGGCATGGCCACCAAGGGACAGGACACCCTCAGAAACATGGCACTATGGGCAGGTCCAGTGGCAGGAGCTGGGGGCCACCCTGCTGGGGACGGGCACACACTCTCCAGCCAAGCAGAGGCTCATGGCTCTGCATGCCTGGGAGACCCACAAGACCCCTGTCAAGATGGATGACGCATCACATGGACACTCGGTGGTCACAGCTCCACGTCCCTTGGCACGAGGCTACTGGAGACCTGCCTTTCTTACCTGCACTGTGTCCCCGCTCTGGACAGCCAGGTCGCTCCTCTTCCAGGTGACAATGGGCTGGGGGTTGCCGATAGCCGTGCAGGTAAGGCTCAGCCTGTCCCGGTCCCGCACTTCGACGAATGCAGGGGGGGTTTCCAGGAAGGTGGGGGGTGCTGCAAAGACACAAACGCACCCCTGTGCTGCTGACATGGCTTGACTGGTCTTAGAAGACGAGCAGATCTGGCCCTGCGGTCTTTGCTAGTACAGGGCAGAGCAGTGATCTCTGAAGGGCCAGCTCTAGAGCAGGATCCAGATCTCTGGGAAACAAACTGGTGGCTGACACTGATCCCAGCTCTGCCATTGCAGTAGCTGCTCTTCCGGCCCTTGGGGAAGACAAACTACTCCTCACTGTCCCCTCCATCCTCACAGTCACCCTATAAATGGGGCAGCAAAGTGACGTGGCGAAGCGCAGGCACAAGGTAGCTGTATGTGCGCAGAGTGCATGGGGAAGGTCTCTCCTGGCACGCCACACAGGAGAGCACAGGACAGGGTATCCCTCGCTCAGGGTGTTAGAGCACCATCATCTGCTCTGTGAGGTCCATCCTGGCTGCCCACAGGCTAAGCAGGGAGCCTGAGGAAGGACCAGGAACAGCCTAATGGCTGGTGAGCAGGTCACCTGCCCTGACACCTGAGATGTTCTGCCTGGCACTGGCCTTCTCTGTAACTGCTTGAGTCTTCCTAGAGCACATGAGTCACCCAGTGGAGTCACCAACCTGGAGTCAGGACTCAGATGGAGCGCCACAAAAAGAGCAGATACGAGAGCAATTTGCAGCAAGGGGCAGAGCTGGCAGCAGCCTGGGCTCACTTGGGTGCAGCCTTGGAGATTTCAGGAGTGGTTTTGGCTCTGCCTGAGTCCTGTTACCTTTCCACATCACACGGACCCAACCAACTGCTAACCCTCCCAAGGCCATGCCTGAACAGGGCAGACCTGAGGCAACCTGAACCTGCTTCCAGGATTCCAAGTTCCTGTCACATCATATCACATTCATGCACATGAAGGCAGCCACAAACCCTGAAGCCCATCCCTAAGGCTCATAGCAGCACCTGCTGTGGAGTGAGGAGCTGTTAAAACTTCCAGGTCAACTGCTGCAGGAACCTGCGCGTGCCAAGCATTGCCCCAGCCATACCGTTGACGGTGAGATGGATCCAGGTGCCGTTCTGGAAGTCGTCGTCAGAGCTGTGCCGGTCCAGGAAGAGCACGCGGCACTCGTACCAGCCTTGGTCCTCAGCGCGCAGGAGGTCGATGCGCAGTGAGGCACCTTCCTCAATCCGCACGCGACCTGCCGAGTGAGAGGCGTCCATCACACGAGCGCTGCTGCCAGCTTGGGGACGGCCGTGTCCTCAGGCTGCCTGTCTCCCTGGAGCACCCACCCACGCAGTGCTGAGCCCAGCCTCTGCCAACCCCCTCTGCCAGCAGCTTTCCTGGGGAATGGGGCCGAGTGCCCCACTTGGCAGTGCGAGGATCTGCCCCGTGCAGCTGGGACATGCTCAGGCTGCTTCCACCTCAACCTGCCGGGACTGGCAGCTCCTGCTGTGGGTGCTCAGGCTGCTTCCACCTCAACCTGCTGGGACTGGCAACTCCTGCTGTGGCTGGCCAGCTCTGTGGGGGCTGGGAACAGCCTTGCAGAGAAAAGCAGGTGCAGCCATGCCAGGGTGGAGGTCAGTCAAAACAACATTTACTGCTGCACGGCTTGCTGCTGTTGGGGAAATGGGCTGGAAGTAGAGATCAGCTCTGCCATCCGCTCTCGTGCAGAGTGGCCTCAGCAAGGACCTCCTAGACTCCTGGCAATGTGGTCCCCATGCCCTGAGCGCTGCTCCCAGCAGCTGGTACACCCATGGGGAGCCCATCCTACCAACCCTCTGTCTCCCCCACACCCAAAAGCCCCTTGAGCTACCAGCCTGCCTACAAAAATCTCTCCTCACACCCTTCCGCATTGCTTCCTGGCTCGTTGGGTGCCTTTCAGGAATTGTCCCCTCAGATAGCCTTTCCCCTCGGGAGCGTCCCCCAGCTCTCTCACCCTTAGGAGCCCTGCTAAGCTCTGGGCATGTGAGGCACCCCCGCACCTTCTCCTTGTCCTGCAATGTGCAGTCTGGCTAGCCTGAACCCATCACCAGCCTGGCAAGGACTCGTGGCACAAGTGTTATGACCCATGTCGGGGCTGGCCAGAGGCATGAGGCTCTCCTAGGTTGCAGGATCCTCGCTCTGAGGCCAGGGCAGCCAGCAGCCCCGCACCACACGGCCTCTTTGATGAGGAGGAGGATAAGGACCTAAAGCAACAGTGAACGCAGTCCTCTAATCCCCTGGGCTATTATCAGAGCCATAATCGGCTCAGAAGTGCAGCAGGCAATTGGCTCAGCACCCAGGCTGGGGTGCACAGACAGCACCTCCACCACCTCAGCACCCCAGGCACAAGTATGCACCCCTGAACATCGCTGCATACACTCACAGTCTGGAAAGCTCAGCCCCTCATATGCCATTGCCCCATGCTCCAGCAGGCTGGTCTGGCAGGACTGCACGTCACGGCAGGACCCAGGCCTGGCTCGCACACAGCTAGGGTGCTGACACCCTGCACTGTGCACACAGCTCTCGACTCCTCCACAGCCTCAAGATGCTCGGTCAAAGTCCTAGAGCTCCCCTAAATCAGCATCCTCATGAAGAGTTTCCAAAAAGGTCGCTTTGCTGGAAAGCGCATCAGCTCTACCCAGGACAGACGCAGCCTTTGGAAATGCTTCAAGCTGAACGAGCATGGATACGTTCAAGAGCCTTTCCCTCTTGGACACAACCCACACACGCTGACCTACAGTACATGCCTTTCCCAGCACAGGTACACACGCCAGGCAGTCTCAGGATGGCTTGCACACACGAATCAATGCTGCTGCCTCAGCACAGCAAGCCCCAAAGTTGAGACAGAGCCGCACAGACAGCTGAGGGTGTGTGTAGCCGTGGCGGTGGCCGTGGGAGGGAGCTCAGCTCAGCGCTTTGTAGGCCAAACCTGCTCCCTAGGGCTGGGGTGTCACAAGTTCAGTGTCACACAAAGTCTCCGTGCGCTGCTTGAGGCCACAGGAGCCCAGGCTCTCGCACTGCGTGGGTGCTACAGCAGCAGGACGCTGTGATCACACCCAAAGAGCCTGGGAAGGAAGAGGAGAAGTGGTAACACCTGGGCAAGCTGGTTTGAGCACAGAGGCTTGGTGGTTTAGGGACAGGATCATATGCTGGGGCTATGCAGCCCTGTGTAAACCCAGCACACGCAAACACATACAAACCATCCCCACTGGTGCCTGGTGTTGCATCCAGCCTCTGCAGCCACCACCTGCTTCTCTTAGTCTCCAATCCAGACCCATGGCATCTCTGGCAGCAGATGCCAGGCACAGTTGGAGTTGGATGTATCTGGGTGCCTCTGGCTACATCCATCACTCAGCACATGGAGCAACACCCCAGGCAAAAAAAACATCCTGCCCCAGGCATGCACCAGTGGTGCGCGTACAGGGGAGCAGCCAGGTGCTAACACTGCGTGGGACTGCAGTGTCAGCCCACGGATGTCCTGGCACGAGGCTTTGCTTTGGTCTCATGAAGGAAGAACTGCGAGTCCCGCCGGAGCAGGGCTACAAGCAGGCAGTTTGGCCAGGCAGCCTGCTGCATGCACCCTGTGCCACTCAGCACCTCGCTGCAAGCTGTCTATGAGCTCCTGTGGCCTGGACATTGCTGCTGGTCCCAATATGACAGTGGCTGGTGATATCTCTGTTCTTGTGTCCCTGCTGGACCCTCCATCCTATGACCCAGAGCTTAGCTAGGGACACACAACACGTCCCTAACACTGCAAGGAGTTGGGGAAGGGGCGCAGGAGTGGAGGACAGGAGTGGAGACAGATGGGGACAGGAGTGGAGATGGGGACAGGAGCAAAGGCAAAACACCCTTGGGAAAAGGATCCCTTCCCCATCTCATTCCCACGGCTGCTCTCTCACAAGCCGAGAACCCTGCCCACGGCCTCAGAGAAGCCAGGGCAGCTGCAAGGCGCGCAGAAAGGCTCCCAAATCCCCGACAGCACTGCTCCCCAGCTGCAGCTGCCAGCTTGCGGCCCCAGAAGCCAGCCGGGAGCAGCAGGCTCCGAAACAAAGGTCCTATTGGAAAAGATCAGAGTGCCCCGGGGATACACCCCCAGCCTCCCTCTAATCCCCTAGAGCTGGCCTCAGCCCCCTCCCCCTCATCCCCCCCCCAGCCGATAACAAAACCGCCTTTGCCCTCCACGCAAGCATCTCCCAGTGCCTGGCAACCACCATTCAAAAGGACACAAAGGGGGCTGGAGCCCCAGCCGTTGACGGCTGCTGTGCTCGGCACCACGAGGGGCAGGGGCTGGGGTGCCCCGGAGCAGGCAATGGGACTGCCAGCCCCCTGCCCTGCTCTGTGGTAGCCCAGAGCTGGGACAGCAGCCTGTGACACCACAGGGACAGTGACACCTGGGGAAGGCTGGCTGAGCCAGCCCTGTTTCCCCAAGCGCTGGAGGGGAGCAACCCAGGAGTTTTCACAGACATGGATGCAGCTGCCCCACTTGCAACCTGCCTCTGGGACACCCCAAATCGCCACACAATGGAAGCAGGAAAAAAGTGTGTGTCTGTGTGTGTGTGTCTGTGTTTGGGGGGGGAGGGGGGGCTTCCTGAGCCCTCTTGGGTGATATTTGAGCTGCTCCACCTGGGAAGGGCTGGAAGGAAGAGCTGCCCTTGGCTGCTATGTTGAGCCTGAGCTGCTCCAGGCAGCCCCTGCCCATCCCTCCCATCCCTTCCCAGCCCCCCAGGCGCCACAGAGGATTGAAAATAAGCAGCCTGCTGCCATGGTGACAACCGCCAGCCCCCCTTGCCCACCCACCTTGCCCTAGATACAGCCAACACTGCCTGCAAGCAAGATCCCCCTCCCCCAGCAGGTCCCCGCATCAGCCCTTGTCCCTGAGGACCAAACACTGGGAGCACCCAAACCTGCTCCCGCAGCCCCCCAGGGGCTCGAGTGACACTGGGACCGGTGCTGTGGTACCAGGAAGCAGGGAACGGGCTGAGAGCGTGGGCAGGATGCGGGAAGGTCCCCTCTGCTACCCTCGCGGGGGTAACCTGAACTCCCTGTTGCTGAGAGGCCCTGCAAAGCCCCCAGGCTCAGGTGACAGGACTGAGACAGAGCCAGTGCAGAGCAGCAGCCCAGTGCAGGCCTCCCAGGAAAACAGGTGCCAGAGGGTTTGTTGTCATCGCTGGTCTAACAGAGCCAGCACAGGGGTGGGGGCCACCCTGGCTCATAGTGCAAGGTTTCCCCCGCACGTGGGTACAGGCTGGCAGCAAGAGAAGCAGAGGATTGCTTCGAGGTTGGCCCTCTCCTGTGCAACCTGCTTTCACAGGCTCAATCTTACACCCAGGAAGAGGCAGCATTTCCCTGCCTGTGCCCACATCTAGCCAGGAGCTGGGTCAGTTCAAACCTCAACATGTGGCACTTTGAAATTGGCCACTGCCTAAAAACTTATGGAGATGGGATCCTGTGACTAGAGCCTGAGAGCCCTGACCTAGGCACAATCCAGTCACCTCCACCCATCCCCACCACTCCCGCAGGAGGATTTCCATGTGTTGCTACCACAGGATTCCAGGGCACCAGGCTCAGGCCAAAATGCCAGCCAGCTGCCAGCCCTTCCCCTCCTCCACAAGAGGCTGCAAGCCTTTCCCAGGAAGATCCTGTTGCCGGCACCTCTGCATTTGCAGGGATCCCTCGAGGTCTGCCACTGCTTCACTTTAAATAACCCCTATATAGGAGAACATCCCCCTCCCACGCCACAGCCCTTCCCTAGCACAGCTTTGCTCCAAATCCCAAGCCAGCCCAGCACTGCCAATTAGCATCTTCGCTGAAATCCCCTCCCCAAGCTCAACCTTCAAGCGACCCACAGGGGCCAAAGCGATGGCGTGGCAGCGTCCGGGGTGCCCACAGCTTTGCAAAGAGCTGGGTGCCAAAGGGAAGCCTGACAGTAGGGCTCCCTGCTTCCACCAGGTCTGCGCCAGTGGCCTAGCACAGCCTGACCGTTGGCCTACGGCAAAGCAAGACACTGGCTTCTGCAACTGCCACGCTCCCACCACCATCCTGGGCAGTCTCCTGGGCTTGCAGCGATGTCTCTAGAAGGATTTCACTTCTGCCCATGCTCAAAGCAAGACATGAGCAGGGCTGGCTTGTGGGATCGGACAGGACAACACACAGCCTGGCAGTAGTACCTGGCTCTTTTTGGACCTGGCAGACTGGAAAAGAAAGTTGAGGAAACACAGCAGACAGTGCCACGATCCAGCAGCACCGTGGCTGGCTCCAAGGTACCCATCACGCAGTGCCCATGGCTGTGCCATCCGCCTTGGAAACCTGCAGTCCTTCCTGGGAGTCCACTGCCCAGCGAGGGCAGGAGCAAGCTTCCACCAGGAAGCAGCCCACAGAGGGATTAGAGCAAACAAAGACCCAGAAGCAGCATCAATCCTACCTTTGACCCCAAGGAATGCCCAGCCTAGAGCCTGCAGGCACCACTCAATGCTGAGCAGGGTCTAGACTGCTCTCCACTACCCTCCCGCTCCCAGCATCTAGGAGCGGAAGATTAGTGATAGGAAGAGGATGATGTTTTGTGCTGCCTGCAGGTCAGAGCAGATCCAGACCTGCTGCTCGCTTCCCTGATAAGGGATCTTGCAGCATGCACTAGGATGGAGGTATGACACTCACACTTGAGCACAGTGGATCTGCACCACTTAGCACCCAATGCCCAGGAGCTTCTACACACAAGCAGCCAGCCACTCAGCCATGCCAGTTCGCAGGCAGGTGCTGCTGGGGGAGGGGAACCCCTGTAGCTGGAGGACGCATCAACAAGCGGCAATCGGCAATCCCTGACGTGCTGGGTGCTTCCTGCCTCAGCGGGCATCACTGATGTGTGCTGAGAAGCCTCTCCCACCTCACCACTCCAGCAGGGCAACCTCCCGCTGCTGAGCCGAGCTGTGGACTCCTGGCTCCCCTGTGGGCTGAGTGTCCAGCACTAGCATGTCCCAAATCCCCTCTGCTTCCTCCTCCTGCCATCCATCAAGCAGCTGCATAAGGTGTGTGTGTGGGGGGGGACTTGGCCCCACCATGGTGACCTCCCCATGGCCCTCTCACCGCTCCAGGCTGGAGGGAGAGCCCCACCGGGTTTGCTGTGCCTCCCCACCATCTCGGGAGCGTGATTAATGCGCTCTGACAGCGGCGGCCCTTGGCTGGGGCCCAGCCAAGGAGAGTGAGGAAGTGAGCACGGCAGGCAGGTTGTGTTCACATCGTATGCCACAGTCAGCCTGCCTGGGCTCACATCGTGCCCCAGGTCAGCCCCAGCCCCCAAGGTTTGGGCCAGCAGGGCCTTTCCAGGACCCAGGGCACAGACCCAGAGCTGCTGCTCAGACCCACACAGCCACAACACCTCAGGTGTGGGATGTGTCCCCAGCCGTGGGACTTACCTATGTACTCTGGGTCCACACGCGGCGAGTAGAGCCCGAACTTGATGAAGATGGGCAGAACAAACCCAAAGCGGACCCACTCGATCACGTAGAGAGGGGGACGGGCCTCTTGAGCGTCCAGAAGGTTGCAGCCCAGGACCGTGCTCTCTCCAACTCGTCCGATCACAGCCTGAGACTCTGCCTGGCCGTTACCTGCTGGGGCCAACACAAAAGGTTCAAGCGCTTGTGAGCGGGACCAGGACCGCTGAGGGCTGTGGCTCAGGGAACGCTATCTCTTCCCACACGTCCAAAGCAAGTGGGACTGGCAATGCCTCGACACCAGAAGCACTGGACAGGAGAGGCAAAGCAGCCGTGCGCCCCCACTCTGCCCATCCTTCAGTTCCATTGCACCTGGAGAGCAAACACAGCTTTTCCCCCCTCTCCACCACCACAGAGAAGTGCGAGCACACCTCACTCCCAGGGACATGCCGAGGAGCCTGGGACAGGAGGGTGAGGCACACACCTGAACCAGGAAGCACAACAGGATCCTGCTTCACAGCATGCTAAGAGCCAGCACCCCGCTCACAGTAGGGCAACAGCAACTTTAGGCCCTCTGAGAAGCCAGGAGCTAGCCCTGGGCTCCCACCTTCCAGAGCAGAAACACACACGCTACCACACTGTGCTCCTTGGCCGGCTGGGAGGACTCACAGGCAAGGGGTGCTGGGTGAGCACAACCCCACAAACTTGGCTCGGGCCAGCAAGTGGGGCAGAGGGGAAAAAAAACACTCGTGTGTTTGAGTGCCATCAACCCAAACGATTCCCCAGCACGCCGACCCAGCGCCACAGGGCCACCCAGATGCCTGCTCGGAGCCAGCTAGAGCGGGCTGCACCTGGCTCTGTCGCGACACCGGGAGTGGTCTCCCTGCCGGCGGCTGGTCCCCGCCCCCCACCGAGGCGCGCCC